CTCAGATCTATCAGTGTGTGTGTGTGAATGGGTGAATAAAATGCATTCAATTAAAGCTTGTTGTAGAAAGGCGCTTTTTTAAAGTTCAGCCCGTTTATTTCCCTAAATTAACAAAATTCCAAACAATAATTACAGCGCCTTCAAACGGCCTTTTCAAATGAAGAAATAGCTCAAGGCCAACATTTGAGGTTCAAGATAACCAAACCTTAAACTAAAACCTCAAACAAACACACTGACCTGACACCCAACAAACAAAGAGGACTTAAGTACTGGCTAATCAGACCACACTGACACACTGACGAACAGGGAAGGAGAACAGCTACACAAATTCAACAAAAATACCAAACACAGTTAGCTTAAACATGAACTTAAATAACTCATTGCTATACAAAATGAAGAAAATAAGCTGATTACAAAAGCAAAGAGAAATTCTACAAAGATTAGAATAAGGACTGGGTGATCCTCCCCATAGTGGAACTCCAGATGGTATCACCCAGTCAGTCAGTCAGTCTGGGACTGACTAAATGAAACATGCAAAAGTTAACTAAATGTGTTGCTAACATTAGAACTAATGTATTTCAATACAGTCAAACAGAAATAACCAAAGCCCTGTATTTCTGCTGGATGAAAACTGAAGGGAAAAAGAGCTGGTGTGGGGGGGTCACCGACTGTCTGGCTGCAGGAGCTTTGTTGGGGGGGTCACTAAGGTGACTGCATGTTGATCCAAGCTGGTCCTGTCTGAGCTCCATGCTGATCAGTGTCTGCCCCTCCTTTTGACCCAGTAGAGGAGCTCACCCTGTGCCCACATAGAGTCCCTGTGCACACTAACCTCTGAGCAGCTTCCGGCAACTTCCGGCAGTTTCCGGCAGCTTCCGGCAGCTTCCGGCAGCTTCAGGCAGCTTCCGGCAGCTTCCGGCAGCTTCCGGCTGCTTCCATCAGCTTCCAGCAGCTTCCGGCAGCAGGCGTCTCCCTCCACTTCATGCTGAAGCTCCTTCAAGCAGGGCTGTGGCAGCTTCATGGGGAGTTTATCATCAGCCTTTAGTCCAGCTCTGCTGGTTGGACGTTCCAGCTCATTCTGGGTTGACTTTCTGATGGATGTGCTCTACAGCAGGGGGGCAGTTTGGACCCAGATCATACACATACATGTACATTCAAACATGATATCATATGGACAACATGCCCACATGCCATTCAGACATGTGGAATGGATGTGTGGGAATATGTGTTCAGTGTAGATAAAAATGACTGTTTTCCAAACAAAGAGTATAAAAGTATTCATTGTAAGTTAAATGATAACAGCTTTTGTGAAATGCCAGCTGTCCTTCCAAACATTACCCTCTTGGTGAGCTTTACTATAAGAAACAGATCTGTTCTCTTTACAAACTTTGAAGCAGGGGAAAATTCAGCTGTTTAAGAATGACCTGTGTTTCTTTTCTCTGCTCCAACAACTAGATAAAACAAACAAAAATAAACAGCCAGACAAACAGAAGCAGTAACAGTGAGGCTGCTTTTAGGGGAGCTGCTGCCTCCACCTGCACAGACAATAGCAAACAAACGTCACATCAAGCCAAACCTGCCGCTCTCATTTCTGGTTTGAGCTTCATCAGTGCTCACAGCCACAGAATAGACATCTAACTGCCCACCCCAAAATAAAACCTGAACGTGTGTCTCATCTGAGCTTTTTCACAGCATTAACCGACTAAAAACAGTCAAACTTCCTGTCCTCCCTCTGCCACTGGAGGATTAGGAGAAGCAAAGTGGATCCTTTGTTTCCCCATTCCGTCCAAACCTCATGATGCCGCTCCTTATTTTAGCTGCATTTGTTCACAGGTTTCTCTTACAGTTCAGAGCAGGTTAGTTTCTGTCCTCCACAATAAATTTGTATGTTTTACTGAACTTGGTGGTCATTTAAACACAGACTGCAGTTACATAATGTGGCCACTGGGTGTCTCTGTTCACCACAAACTTTATGGAGGGAAACAACTGTCAAAAGCTTCGTTGGTATTCTTATATCCACAGAAATGTTGACTATAAACTCTGCTGCTGTTTGTGCAGCTCCATGTTTGTCTCTGAGGATATCTGAGGGAAATGTTCATTATGATTTTTACATGTTTTAAAGTCACGGCTCACTGTGACCAAACACAAATCCGCTTTATCAGTTCAGCCAATCGATTAAAGACTAAACAGGAATGGGGGTGGGGGGGCTCATCAGATCAGGTTTAAAGCTCAGACTGCAGGAACAGCCCTCATGACTGTTTTCTGGGAGTCTTTATCTCTGATTGGCAGCAGCTTTTTGTTTTCAGCTTTAAGAACTGAGAGTAAATGAGTCATTCCCTTTGTCTGCAGACTGCTGGCGTGTTGTTCTGCTGTAACATGATCCACACAGACACACCTGTACAGGTAGAACTGGTTTCCACATTCTAAGGTTCATGAACTTGACGGAGGCAACGTTTTCGACATCTTTGACTTTGACCCTTCCTAGCAACAAATTATGGCTGAAATGCGATTGGTTTAATGCTTTTATATGAAAATGCGTGTCTGGAAACAGCACAACCAGGAGAAAAGCTATGAAAGGAAGCGGACAGACATGATCCACACAGACACACCTGTACAGGTAGACCTGGTTTCCACATTCTAACGCTCATCAACTTGACAGAGGCGACGTTTTCCTCTCAGGCGAAGCAGAATCTGAAGGTAAATGTTTAGTTTTTGTTCCTTTAATGTGTTTAAATTGTAAAAATCAGCTGTTTTAAACAGAAATCTGCATTAAATGGTCCGTACTAGTGTCCAATAAACAAACTTCAGCTCAGCTGAACTGAAGCAGTAGTGAATCCTCCATTTTATGAGGCATCTGATCTGCGGCTTCCAGAAGCAGAATTTACTGGAATAGAAACACACCCAATTCTATTCAGCTTGGAGGGATTTTTATAAACACTCTGAAAGAGAAAAAGTTGAGTATTGTGGATTTAACCTGGTGGGAGCAGGTTTTCCTCCACAAACTCAGCGTATTTTTGTTTCCCAACCCTCTAAAACACACTCACGCCATTTAATTTCCTCAATTAGTTTGGAGAGCTTTATCATAATTCTGTGCAAACAGTCAAATAAATAAGTGTTTAAAATACAAATATGACATGTTCTTTTGTCAAGAACCACACTCATATACATCCACCTAAATATATATTTATAGATATTTGTGTGTGTGTGTGTGTGTGTGTGTGTGTGTGTGTGTATGTATATGCTGCAAATGTGTGGATGGATAAGGAGGATGTACTAAACTAAACTCCGTGTTTCAGACAGGTGAACCAGCAGTTCTACAGGTGAGGTGGAGCCCAGCAGAGGCGTCTGAAAGGCTGTGAATCCCTCAGTGTTTCCTGTTACGGTGGGACGGCGTCCTCCGGCTGTCCCAGCACCCACCTCTGTGAGGGAAAGCAGGATTCTGCTGTGAGTCTCTGTCATGTTTCAGCTTTCTACAAGACGATCTTTTTAATGAATGTACGTGTAATTTGATCTTATAAATGTAGAACTGTTCTTTACCGGTGCAGTTCTGTTTCTGCTTTTGATTTGAAATGGTAAGTACTTATATAAAAAAATATTTATGTTTTTCAGTGTAAATGTAGTGAATGCTGGTTAAATCCACTTAAATCTCCACCCTCTGGTTTTCACTGCAGCAGCTCTGAATGTTTGTCAGCCTCTCAGTAACAC